TAGGAGAACCTGGGGGATCGCGGGTCCCGAAGCGCGACAGTGTTCCTGACAGTATGGTGAGTGGAACAACACAGACCTGGTCTCCCAGTCAATTTGGGGGTTGTGGGCCCGTAACCAAGGGAGCCCCAAAATGACTGGGAAAAGAGGTGACGCAATAGCGTCCAAACAAAGGAGTTTGTGGTGCTGGCCAGCTATAGTGGTAGGAATAGGGGGAGTTTCCTGATCAACCACTCCCGACTTAATCTGGGAGCCATCAGCCAAAAATAAATTCAGACCCCTTTTTCTGGGCTGTAGGGGAATCTCCTGCTGGCGAGCGAAGTCAACATCCACAAAGCAACTGCATGCCCCCGAATCAACTATTGCTGTCACCTCCACGATTCTTCCTGGAAGCTGGAAGGAGAGGGGTATAGCTAAGTAATTGGACTGTCTAGCATCCCCCACAGATAAGGAAGAAAATGAAGAGGAAGACTTACTCATTTTTTGCGGACAGGACCAGCTTCACCACAGTAGAGACAGAGATTTTTGGAGCGTCTCCGCTGGCGTTCCTCGGGAGAAAGCGTAGGCCGAGCCAGACCCAGCTGCATTGGTTCCTGGGTGTCCACAGGAGCAGGGGTCCGAGGATCCATTGTGGAAGGTTGACCTGCACTCTGAACCGGGGCCCATGTACTTCCGTGACCCTGGCTAGACCTCTCAGACCTGCGCTCCCGTAGACTACGGTCAATTTGGATGGTTAGGGCCATGAGGTCTTCTAACGACTCAGGAAGGCCCACTCGGGTCAGCTCATCCTTGAGTGCTTCAGAGAGACCCATGCGGAATTGGTGGCGCAAGGCGGCATCGTTCCACCGTGTGTCACCCATCGATCGTCTGAATTCGGAAGTGTCTAAGGGCATACAATGTCGATTCAGCGGAAGCTGCCTGCTGTGGGTCGTCATACAGGATGGCCATAGCCTCAAAAAAGTCCTTTACTGTCCTAAGGTGTGGGTCTTGGTTCTCCATTAGCCGGTGGGCCCAGTCTTGGGGTTCCTCCTGAAGTAAAGAGATTATGAACCCCACCTTAACCGACTCTGTCATAAATGTGCAGGGCTGTAAGTCAAAAAAACAGGAGACAGGAGTTTCGGAAGGCCCTAAAACATGCACGGTCACCGCGAAAACGTTCCGGCTAGGGGACACGGGGTTCAACCACGGGCGGCGCAGCAGCGGCCCCCGGGGCCTCCCCAGCCGGGGAGGCAGAAGCCGGGGCCTGTGAAGTAGTGTCAGATACCGTGAGGGTCTGAAAACGATTTTCCAGATGCATGCATTTATCTTGTAGGGCCGCAACGGCCTGAGTTAGGGCCGTCAAGTGTCTGCAAATGTCCTCCAGCGGGGAGGGCCCTCCTCTAGGCTCAGTCATGGCCATTCAGTACTGTAAGGGACCGCCCAGCGGTACCTCTAGCAATCCACTGGTCAGGTGCTTCCAGAGCGTGGAGTCTAAGTCCCAGAGCACTTGTTCACCAGGGCCCCTGATGGTGGGGATGGACTTGAAGCGCTCAGAGACCAGGTCGCAACTACTGGGCACACCCACCGCTGGTAGAGGTATCCACCGAGGGCTCCCGCAGAGGAAGAGCCTGATGTGAGGAGGTTGGGAGATCCTGACAGGATGGATGGATGGCTGAGCAGGTACAGGGTCAAACAAGCCGGGTCGGGAGCCGTGGGGTCTGTGAGGTACAAAACAGCGGGCAGAGAATAGTCGGGTCACACGCCAAGTCAGCAACAGTAGATCAGAATAAACGGGGGCATCCAGGAGAGAGGTCAGGCAAGCCAAAGGTCAGGGCAGGAGAAGACAGCAGGGTCAGACAATCCAGGTAAGTACTCACAGTAATCAGGTAACTCAGGAACAGGTATAGACCGAACGGCACTCAATGACAGCTGAGGGCGATTTAAATACCGCGCCCTGCACTGTCATTGGTGCCCGGCGCGCACCCGCGTCACTCAGTGCGCATGCACAAGCTCGCCGCCGCGGTCGGCCCGGACCTAGTGCCCGCATTCCCGTGCGAGGCGGCGCACTGCGCCTGCGCTGGGACCAGCGCCGCGGCGATCCCTGACACGCTTTTTCTGGCAGAGATTTCTTCTCTTTTTTTCATTCAGCACACAGGCTGCATAAAAAAAAGAACATGGCATATACACCCTACAAGGACCAGCAACGTACTGGTACATCACTGAACTTTGAGTGGTTATTCCAGGATGATGCCTGCAGGCATCATCCTGGTATCGTTTTTTTCAGCCGGCGTTGAGCTTTCATGTAAAAGCAATCCTAGTGGCTAATTAGCTGTAGGATTGCTTTTACAAGCTGCCTTCCACGGCCTTCTCGTGCAGTTCTGTGCTATCGGGGGAACCTGAAAATGCAGCTGGTGTTTCTGCCAGCTGACCATAGAGCTGAATGGTGCCAATCATCTCTGTAGTCTAAGAAATCGGAAGCTACAAGCATTTCATCACTTCAGTTTTACAAGATATAAACAGCGCCATTTGTAAATTGAGAAAGCATCTAATCATACCAATCTTCGTGAGATTAGATAATGTAAGGGCAGAGGAGATATCTAGAGTCTGATAGACCCCAGATTTCTTAAAACAGAATATATGACAATGCCCATTGAAGTTATAGGGGATATTTGAATTCCCTGTGATAGCATTAAAAGTGATAAAAAAAATGAAAGGAACAGTGTACAAATAATTAAAAAAATCTAAATAACTAAAAAATCTAAATAAATAACACCTCCCATGCGCGCGCACCTGCGTGCGCAAGAGTTGACCCCGTGCCAGTATGTAAACAGAGGTTGCACTATGCATGTGAGGTATCACCACGAACATCAGATCAAGGGCAGTAATTCTAGCACTAGACCTTCTCTGTAAATCTAAAATGGTAGCTTGTAAAAGCTTTTAAAGCGTTGCCTATGGATATTAAAAATGTATGCAGTTTGTCGCCATTGCACATGGCATGCGCAGTTTTAAAGCATTTCATGTTTGATATCTATTTACTCAGCACAGCATTATCTTTTATAAGTTACCAAATAAATGGCCAGTATATTGTGTTTTTGTGCAATAAAATTAAAAAAAGTGTATTGTTTTTTAATTTGCATTTGAAAAAATTGCTGCGCTAGTACTATGTGACATAAAAAATTGCAGCACCCATTTTATTCACTAGGGTCTCTGATTTAAATTTTTTTTATAATTTTTGGGGGTTCAAAGTAATTTCCTAGCAAAAATACAGATTTTTTTCATGTGAACAAAAAGTGTCAGAAAAGGCTTGATCTTCAGGTGGTTAGAAGAGTGAGTTATGTCTTTCATAAACTTCTAATGCTGAGCATAAAATGCCCCCACCACCCAAAATGACCCCTTTTTGGAAAGTAGACACCCCAAGCTACTTTCTGAGAGGCATGTTGAGTCAATAGAAGAATTTATTTTTTTACCACAAGTTTTTGGAAAATGACAAAAATGTATTTTTTTTTTACACAAAATTGTCATTTAAATAATGTATTGCTCACACATGCCATGGGTATATGTATATGGACAGTCTAGCCAAGTACAGGACCCCAAAATCCAATAAGCACCTCCAGGCTTTTATAGGGCTTTAGTTCCTCATAACACTTCCTGACTACCTATCACAGTTTCAGAGGCCCTGAAATGCCAGGATAGCACCAAACCACACTAATGACCCATTTTTGGAAAGCAGATACCTCAAAGAATTTGATAAGAAGCAGAGTGAGTATTTTGCAGATCTCGTTTGATGCCACAAGTTTTTGGAAAATGAAGAAAGAAAACAAAAACATATTTTTTCTTTTCTTTTTGTTATATTTTCGAAACCTTGTGAAAAAAATTATATCTACAAAATACTCACCATGCCTCTTTTTAAATGCCTTGGGGTGTCTACTTTCCAAAAAGGGGTCATTTTGGGGGGTTTGGTGCTATCCTGGCATTTAAGGGCCTCTAAAACTGTGATAGGTGATGAGGAAGTGAAATGAGGAAGTTACGCACCTTCAGGCTTTCAAAGTGGTCATTGGATTTCAGGCTTCTGTATGTCGCTATGCTCCCAAAAAGTCTCACACATGTGGTATCCCCATACTCGGTTTAGAAGTAGCAGAATGTATTTTGGGGTGTAATTCCACATATACCCATGGCTTGTGTGAGCAATATATCATTTAAGTGACAACTTTGTGTAAAAAAAAATAAAATGTTTTTATCATTTTCCAAAAATGTGGAAAAAAAATAAATCTTCCACTGACTCAATATGCCTCTCAGCAGATAGTTTAGGGTGTCTACTTTCTGAAAAGGGGTCATTTGGGACTGTTTGTACTGTTCTGATATTTTATTTTCAAATAGTTTTTATTAACTTTTAAACATACATATTAATATGCATCATAAAATAATACAGTTCACATTAGATTGAAGTAGCAAGTAGAAGTATGTAAAAATTGAGGATATGTTTCCCCACCATTTGGCCGGGGAATATGTGAGTGTGATTTCGTCTAGTTATAAGCATATATATATTAATGTGAACCATAATTGTTTTGAAGTATATTAAGAATGGGAACAAAGTGGGAAAAAGGAAAGGAAGGTGAGGGGGGGGGAGTACCAGTCAAAACGTTAGTTGTATGGTGGTAATATTGTTAGATATATATCATTTAATGGAACAGTTAGGGTCCTGGAGCCAACGAGACCATTGAAATTGGAATTTATGATATGTGAGGTTTTGGATTGCTGTTCTCTTTTCCATTTCACATTGGAAATTTAAATCAGAAATAAGAGTCGAGATGGAAGGAGTTTTGTTGGATTTCCATAATCTAGTAATGTTAATTTTAGCAGCTGCTAGTGTATGGATGATAACAGTTTGCGAGTAGAGATGAGCGAAGTATTCAAAAATTCGATTCGACTGATTCGGCGAATTCGTGGAAAATATTAGATTCGAGTCGAATATATTCGCTGTGAATTTAACTTAAAAAAGGGTGTTTCTAGGCTTCAGAGAGACTTAATATTAGTGCAGAACACTGTACCTTTAATTTAAATGCCATTGGAGTCTGCTGGGGAAGAGAAATAATACTGTCAGTCAGTATGACATGCAGATGATCCGTCGATCTTAGAATCACCGCACACTTCACTCATTTGGCCAGTCACGGGGCCAAAAAAACCAGTGTTTGGAGCCACAGTGTGGCGGTGGAGGCAGCAGCAATGGGAGACCATACAGCAACCTATGACAAAATGGAAACCAGCAGGAGTGTGAGGAGACCTCAAAGTGGCACATGGCAGAGTGGGAGCAATGGGAGGTGGTACAGGGACCCATGTCACACTGTGGACCCAGCAGCACCGTGACGAGGCGGTACGGGGGCCCATGGCAGATTTGGGGCCTGGCAGCTCACCTATGGGAGGCCTGTAATCCTGCCAGCAACCTATGACAAAATGGAAACCAGCAGGAGTGTGAGGAGACCTGAAAGTGGCACATGGCAGAGTGGGAGCAATGGGAGGCGGTACAGGGACCCATGTCACACTGTGGACCCAGCAGCAGCGTGACCAGGCGGTACTGGGGCCCATGGCAGATTACAGGCCTGGCAGCAGCAATGGGAGGCCCGTAATCTGCCAGCACCCTATGACAAAAAATGGAACACACCAGCAGTGTGTGAGGAGACCTGAAAGTGGCACATGGCAGAGGTGTGGCGATGGAGACAGCAGCAATGGGAAGGCCCGTACAGGGACCCATGAGAGACTGTGGACCTGGCAGCAGCATGAGGAGGTGGTATAGGGGCCCATGGCAGATTAGGGGCCTGGCAGCAGCTATAGGAGGCCCGTAATCTGCCAGCACCCTATGACAAAAAATTCAACACACACCCGCAGTGTGTGAGGAGACCTGAAAGTGGCACATGGCAGAGTGTGGCGATGGAGACAGCAGCAATGGGAGGCCGTACAGGGACCCATGAGAGACTCTGGACCTGGAGCAGCATGAGGAGGCGGGTATAGGGGCCCATGGCAGATTAGGGGCCTGGCAGCAGCTATGGGAGGCCCGTAATCTGCCAGCACCCTATGTCAAAAAATTCAACACACCAGCAGTGTGAGGAGACCTGAAAGTGGCACATGGCAGAGATGTGTGGCGATGGAGACAGCAGCAATGGGAGGCCGTACAGGGACTCCATGAGAGACTCTGGACTTGGCTAGCAGCATGGAAGGAGGCGGGGTATATAGGGGCCTATGGCAGATTAGGGGCCTGGCAGCAGCTATAGGAGGCCCGTAATCTGCCAGCACCCTATGTCAAAAAATTGAACACACCAGCAGTGTGAGGAGACCTGAAAGTGGCACATGTTTGGGGGCATGGTTCATGGCGGATTTAGTCACAGTTGTGTCAGGAACTGGTGGTTTGAAATCCAGAACTAATCCACGCTGATTCATTTATCACAAACGATGAGTCTCTCTCCACACTTGGGTGGACAGTCGTGTCCTCCGCGGAGTTGCAATACCTCCTGGCCGCACTAAATACACGCGCTCCGATGCCACGCTACTGGCGGGCATGACAGCCTTTCAAGGGCAATTTCAGCTAGTTGGGGCCAAAGGTCAAGTTTCGTTGCCCAGTAGTCAAGGGGATTGTCTACCTCGGTTGGCAGGGTGCTGTCCAAGTAGGCCTAAGCTGTTGTTTTGAGGTCCTGCTCCAGGTCCACCTGATGACTGCTGCTGCTTGCTGCTGCTGCTGCTGCGGCTTGGTTATTAGTATTCCTCACTGCGCTGGTGAAGAAAGCTAACTCATCATCGACTGCAGACTGAGGCAGCTGCTGCTGGTGGAAGCTGCCACTGCTCCTACCATCCCCACCCCTCCCCTGCTGCCATGGCAGCGGAACGCCCGAGCGCACAGGGCCCACAGTGTCTGAGGATGGACGTTGGCGCAGGACAGGCAGAGACCCAGCTGACTACATAGGTGGTTTTTAAGGTACGTTATTTGGCCTCCCTCTCAGCAGGGTGTGAAAAAGGCCACCATTTTGGAACGGTAGCGCAAGGGTCCAACAAGGTGGACAGCCAAAAGTCATCCCTCTGTCATGATGTTATTATTCGGCTGTCGTTACGCAAGCAAGCGAGCATGCTATAGGTACCTTTAACCGCTTTTAACATCAGGGGAAAACTTTTGATGGCCTTTTGCTTTCGTTTAAAAGGGGGTTTTAAAAATTTGGGAGGGTTGGAAATTTAACCCTTTTTGCAACGTCACAGGGATGAGGAAATCCGGTACGGGGGCCCATGGCAGATTACGGGCCCGGGCAGCAGCAATGGGAGGCCCGTAATCTGGGCCCGCACCCCATGTCAAAAATTTAACCCACCCGCAGGGTGTGAGGAGACCTGAAAGTGGCAATGGCCCGAGTTTTTTGGGATGGGAAAGGGCAGCGCAAAAAGGGGGGGCCGGGCCCTACAGGGACCCATGACAGGGCCCCTGGACCCGGCAGGGAGCATGGGAAAAGGGGGGGTTTTTAGGGGCCTATGGCCCGATTAGGGGGCCCGGCAGCGCTATGGGAGGCCCGTTTAAACTGGGGCCCGACCCTATGTCAAAAAAATTAACAACACCAGCAGTTTGTGAGGAGACCTGGGAAAGTGGCACAAAGGCAGAGTTTTGGGATGGAGACAGCAGGGAATGGGAGGCCTACAGGGACCCATGGGCAGGGCTTGGAACCCCGGCAGCCGGATGAGGGGGGCGGTTTTATAGGGGCCTATTTGGGAGATTAGGGGCCTTGGGCAGATATAGGGGCCCCTAATCTGCCCCGCACCCTATGTCAAAAAAACCCAAAACGCCCCGCAGTGTGAAAAGACCTGAAAGTGGACTTTGGGAGAGTGTGGCGATGGGTTTACAGCAGCAATGGGAGGCCGTACAGGGAAACCCCTCAGGGGCTCTGGACCTTGGCAGCGCTTTAGGAGGCGGGTTTTTATAGGGGCCTATTTGGGAGATTTTGGGGCCTGGGGAGCAGCTTGGGAGGCCCGTAATCTGCCAGCACCCTATGTCAAAAAATTTTAAACCCCACCCGCAGGGGTGAAGAGACCCGAAAAGTGGCAATGGCAGAGTTTTGGCGGGTGAGGGCAGGCAAGGGGGGGGGTGGGGGGG